GGATGGTCACTGGGAAGAGGTAACTATGGGGAGGAAGTGGGAGGGGAGCTGTTGCATTGTGGTAAACTGTGGTCAATGACATGAGACAAAGTGTATGTGAACTGCTATATGGAAAGTGAATTTGCTCTGTAAATCTTCACAGAAATCAAGATAAAATTAAAAAAAAAAGAAAGTGAATTTGCTCTGTAAATCTTCACACAAATCACAATTAAAATAGTAATAATAATAATAAAACCACTCATGTGTTAAGAGTTTCTAGAAAAAATTTACCCTATTAATTCACAGTTAAAAAGAATGTCATAAAAGAGTTTACTGCGGTCAGAGGTATGAAAACAACATGAGCTAGTGGTAATTTTAAGCAAATAAAATGTTAAGAATCTAATTCTTTTCTAAAGACTTAGTAAAATATGAAGTTAAACAATACAGATGATCATGAGGAAATGCAGGGAAATATAAAATCTTCAGGCAATAAAAAAAGGTCAATTACAATGTTTCTACAAGTGTATTTGTATGTTCTGTAAGAATTCCCAGGTATATTAAAAAAAAAGAATTCCCAGGTATATAGTAGAGCTGACAAGAGACAAGGTTGTAACCACTTCTTGGCCACAGCCAGCTACCCAGAGGGAGCGAGTAGTTGGACCTGTGGGCTTGAGACCATGGTCACAGGGGACATCAAGCTCAATTAGCATAACACACTACACAAAACATTGTTCCACATCCTACTTTGGTGAGTAGCAACTGGGATCTTAAAAGCTTGCAAGCGGTCATCTAGATGCAACGATGGGCCTCTCCTTATCTGGAGCAAAGAAGAATGAAGAAAACCAAAGATGGATAGAAACAATTAGTCCAAGGGACTGATACACCATGCGATTCTCAGCCTATAAAGCTATGAGACCAGAAGAACTAGATGGTGCCCAGCTACCACTGTCAACCACTCAGAGGGGCATCTATGTGGGAGATCCCGGACAGAGTGGGAGAACAATGTGGAACAAAACTCAAAATCATTTGGGAAAAAAAAAAAGGGACCAGGTTTGTTGGTCTGATAGAGCCTGGTGGAACCACTGAGACTATGGCCCTTAGCTGCCCTTCAGGTCTGGAATTGAACCCACTCCTGTGGTTTCTAGCAAAACGAAAGACAGGCATATGAGATGAACATTTACAGTAGGTAAATACACTCCTTACAGAGATCAATCATGGGAGAAGAGAAGGGCTGTGTATGCGCAGGGAGACAGCTCAGGGGGCAGGGGTGTATGGAGGGATGGACACAGGGAAGAGGTAACTATGGGGAAGAAGTGGGAGGGGAGCTGTTGCACTGTGGGAAATTACAGTCAATGTCATGAGATAAAGTGTATGTGAGCTGCTGTAGGGAAAGTGCCTTTCACTCAAGTCACAATTTTAAACTGCCCCCACCAAAAGGTTTATTAGAAAAGTAAATGTTATATATGTTATATGTTCTTTCAGCAGAAAAAAATATGGTTTTAATTATTAAAATTGATGCTACAGATACATCAGCAAAGAAGATATACAGAAAACAACTACACCTATGGGAGGATGTTCCACCTATATGTCATTGGGCAATTGCAAACGAAAACAGTGAGACATCACTACACACCTGTTAGAATGGTGAAGCTAAGAAAATTGACAGCATCAAATGCTGGTGAGGACGTGGAGCCAACAGGAACATCCATTCACTGGGTGAGGATGCACGATGGTGCAGCCACACTGGAAGGGAGCCTGGCAGCTTCTTACAAAGCTACACGGGCTAACCATATGATATGGCAACTGACCTCCAAGGTATTCCCAAGTGAATCGAAAACAGTCCGCACAAAAACCCGCACACGAATGTTGACAGCAATTTTATTCATAAGTGCCAAAAACTGGAAGCAATCAAGATGCCCTTCGAGAGGTGAAGAATACAGTAGCTGAAAATGCTGCAATACACCCAAACAAGAAGGTATCTTTCAATGATAAGAAGAAATGTTCTATCAAGCTACGAAAAGATATAGAGAAACCTTATGGAAAAACAAAAGACAAGACATGGAAGAACCTTAAATGTATATTTACCGAATGAAAGAAGCTACTCTGAAAAAAGATATTTACTGTATAATTCCAGCTACATGACCTCTGAAAGAGACACACAACAGAGACAGTGAACAGACGGGTGGTTGGCAGGAGCCCAGGGGGAGGTGAGAAAGGTTGAACACATGGAGCACATGGCATTTTTAGAGCAGGGAACCTACTTTGTAGCATGGTACAACAGTGGACACGTGGCATGCATTTATCTAAACGCCTAAGACTGCCAACATGCAGAGGGAAAGTGAACAGGAGCCATGGACCTCAGTCCACAGTAACATGTCAACAGCGGTTCATCAGCCGTGACCCACGTGCCACAGGAACACAAGATGTTAATGACAGAAGATACAGTGCCCAGGGCAGGGTGCGTGTGGGAACTCCCGTACTTCTGCACAATTTTCCTGTAACCCTAAAACTGTTCTAAAATGTAAAGTGTATTTTTAAAAATTAAAAAAAAAAAAAGAAAAACAGCAACAGGGAAAACAAGCTCTAGCTGCAGGGACAACATTAAAACTAACAACAAACACAGGAAGGTCGTATTAACAGAGGTGAGGATGCTGAGGAGACACTGACCTGGGCTGTACAGGGGCAAGCGCTGGCGGAGCTCTGCCTTTTGCTGCTCTTTCTCTAATACCAAAAAGGGCAGGGACGTTACAAACTCAGCGTGGAACCCTAACAGAGAGTCTCCTTAAGACTTCCGCAGAGCGCCGTGGATGTATACTGTTTTATTTCCCAAGACAATGACGACCACATAAAAGCCCAGTGCACTGAATAAAGATGGGACAGTGTGGTCAGTTCCCAGCTTATCTGTGTTATCCATGCAACAAGATTTTTAAAGCAAATTATAAAAAAAATACTTATTACCCAAAATAAAGATGACTTCCCAAATTACAAATACAAACAGAGGAGCCCCTCAAACTGTGTTCCACGAGAAACAAAAACCTGCCATAAGGAACTCGCTTTACCTTCCTGCTGTTCCAGTTCCACCTGAACGTCAGCGAGCAGGGCTTCCAGCCTCTTGAGCCGGGCCGCCGCACATCGGGCTGCCTCCTTCTCCTCTGCTCTTTCATCTCGGAATACGTATAACCCAGATGGCGTCTTCTCCACCCACTGTAAGAAGGGTTAAGCAAAAACAAACGGCAGGGAGGGAACTGTCAAGTCAGCTGTATCTAAAGAGAAACATGACAGTAAGTGTCAGGGACACGCCATACCTGCACAGGGTAAGCTCTCTGAACGATGACATCCACACAGCCAACGTTCCCTCCCTCGCTGAACAGCGATGACAAGGGCAGAGGAAAGGGTCTGGGGTCAGCAAAGAACCCAAGTTTGGCATACCAACAAGCAGGCCGGGTGCTGTTAGTAGAAATCTGGACAAGTCAAAGAATAAATCGATTTAAATATTAATTATACCTTCAATTCTATTACAGATTGCATAACATATTGCAATCCTTTAGGGCTGTTTTTAAAACATTCACATTTACTTATTTTTATTGTGATTTGGGCGAAAGTGTATAGAACAAGTTGGTTTTCCATTCAACAATCCTTACACATTGTTTTGTGACATTCATCCTGAGCTCCACCCTATAACTTCACCTTCCCACTTCCTCCTTGTGTCTCCTGTTTCCATTTGTCCTTCTATTCCCTTCCTTCCCACCCTCTGAGCTTTAGCCCTAGGCCAGTGCTGATCTTCAGCTCTCCCATGGCTGACTGTTTTAAGGAGTGCATACCTCCCCAGTGTTACTGTTCAACTCATATGCCTATCATCTGGCTGAAAGTTGAGCCATAGGGGTGGGTTTAGCTCCAGGTTTGAAAGTGTCTAAGGGTCACATCGGGAGTCCCAACAGTCTCAGACCAGTCAGCCTGGTCTTTCTTATGATATGAAATTTTGTTTCACATCTCTCTCCCACTCTATCCAAGACCTTCCATCTAATGTGACCCTTTCAGAGCAGTCAGTAGTGGTAGCCGGGCACCATCTAGTTCTGCTCTCAGGGCTGCGGACGTTGGGTTCACGGGTCCATCAGTCTTTTGGACTGTTTCACTTTGCAATTCTCGTGGATTCAGCTAAATAACAGATTGTTGTTGTTGTTGTTATGTGACATCAAGTCGGCCCCGACTCATAGCAACCCCTCCTTGGGTTTCCGAGGCAGTATCACTAC